GCAACTGGCCTTGGCCGGCCAGCAACGGATCCCCGTTTTCTAGGTAGGGTTTCTCCCATCAATCTTTCTTTAACCTCTCTGTTCGGGGAAGCAATAGGAACACCACCCCCCTCCCCTGAGCAAATGCTTTCTTTTGACTGGAAACAAAAAAAGGGGGCCCTGCAAAGACGGAGGTGAAATCTGGGTGGTAAGGGCGCCGCACAATGGGGCCGCTGTTCCTGGCCGGGCTTGTGTTTTACAACAGGGAGGGGCCTGTGTGAATGGTCTGATGGCAGAGACAATCCCCCTGATTCAGGCTACTAATGCATCTTCTATTCCACACGGAGCCCGGCAGAAAGGACGAAAGTGACAAAGAGTATGGGGCGGGGAGAAGAAACACAAAATGTTTTCAGATAAAAAAAAAAAATCTCTCATATCTTACACATCCTCAGAAGAGGTTCTGCGGAGAAGGTCTTCGGAGAGCCCCGGCCCACAGCTCAGGGGCTTTGTCTGGACCATGATTTATGGAGGAGCTCGAGCGATTTGCTAAGAAAGGCCCGGGGTGTCTTTGTCCTGGAGATAAAGTACAATAGGCCACAAGGGCCAAGATCTCTTGGGATGCTCTCGGGTCCTGCCTCTCACTTGCCCTCTTCTCCCTGCAAATGCCAGCAGATGCTGAAAAAACGATCAGTGGTATGGCTGGGAGTGCTGGGGACAAGCCGGGCCACTTGAGGTCCCCTCAAGAGGGTATTATGGTCAGGGAAAATATTTGCGCTCTGAAGATGGCACACTCCATTTGTTAATGGCTCTCATCTGCCCCAGATAATCACCTCGCTCCCGGCTGTCAGGGGTGCAGCCAATTCACGGCGCCCTCAGAGAAAGTACCCTTGTCTGTGGTGACCAAGATGGGGACATTGTGTTTACCTACTTGAGCAGAGAAGAAGGTGACCACGAGGGCAGCCCACATTGTAAAATAGAATTAAAACAGAAACAGACAGTTCCCTCTCTGACCTGGGACCCCCCCACCAATAAATTATGAGTGGACATTGGAGGAGAGCCCAGGAGAGACTGGCTACTGGGGAGAATTCCCCCAACCCCACAGCCTACAGAGAGGACTTGGGGTCTGGGAATAGGGCTACATGGGAGTCGAGATAGATTGGTTGGCCACATAGACACACTAGCATCATCAGGAGGGTCCCTGCTTGTCCTTGGAAGGAGGCGAGAGAGCAATCTGGGTGTCTCCTCACCCAGTTGCTTAGAGATGATGTACCCAGAGTTCTTTGCAGATGGCTCTGCCTCTCCCCAAGGTGCTTTTGCCTGTAGCCAGCCTTAAGGCCCACCAGAAACTTTGAGGAAAGGAAGTAGAGAATGAAGGGAAGGGGGTGGGGAGAGAAGCAGACAGGGAAGGAGAAAGGAAGTCTCTATCATCCACAGTGACAATGAGGAAGGATGGGTGGTTTTACCAGAGCCTGGTCTCTCAGTTTTATTTAAAGTCTGAAGAAAAGAACTACACCGGAGGCTGAGGCAGAAGGATTGAATTGGAGACCAATCTGGCTACATAGCAAGATCCTGTCTCAAAGAAACAAGAAAAGAAAAAGGGGGGAAATACATGAGAAAGAGAGAGAGAGAGAGAGAGAGAGAGAGAGAGAGAGAGAGAGAGAGAGAAAACAAATGTGGGCTTTATTCCAGATACCAGGAAGACAGACCTGATGTTGAAAACTAACTAGGAACCAGGAAGTACATTAACTTTATGCTATTGCCACTGGGCATATCCAATTATTTATCTAAATTAGTTTTTAAATAGTTCTTTTGGAGTTTTTATTTTATTATCTTTTAAAAACATTCTCTGAAAGCAACAGATATCCAAAATGTCTACCAGCCATGAGCTCTACCCATCCTTGGCTGTCCGTCCAGGCTCCCACACACCTGAAGGCTCAGTACAGCGGCCAGCTATTCCAGACTCACCATGATGACGGAGCGGGGGCAGCTGTGTGAGCGTGCGGCTGTGTGGGGAGGTTCAAAGCCTGCTTCCGGGCTCAGCTGCGCTCATCAGCCGCTGTCCTTCCTTTACTCCGTTCTGCCTGTGAAGGCAGGCAGTGCAGTAGCCTAACAAACAAAGCTTGCCTGAAGACCAGAATGCAGAGCTCAGCCAGGAGCTCGCCATCGAAACCAGGCAGTGGTGGTGCACCCCCTCTTAGTCACAACACTCGGAAGACAGAGACAGATGGATCTCTGCGAGTTCAAGGCCACTCTGGGCTACCTGAGATTGAATCTGTCTAAAAGAAATAGGGCTCACACAAAGGTGATCCTAGCATTTGGGATTCCATGCCTTTAATCGCAGCATGAAGGATATGGAGACAGGAGCTCAGGGCAGTCTGAGAATGCAGTCTGAATATTCAGTCTGAAGATTTGTAGAGACAGGATCACCCTTTTGGTTTGAGGTAGAGATAAGGGCTAGTGGTTGGCTTAATAAAACACTGATTAGACAGTAGGCAAGCAGGAAGTATAGCCGGGGAAACTAGACTAAAAATTTTGGGACAAGGGAAGGCAGAGAGTCAGTCACCAGACAGATACAGAGGAAGCAAGATGAGAATGCCTCACTGAGAAAAACGTCATGTGGTGATGTGGGTTTCCCCTCTGTATGCTGTCAATGCCACTGGTTAATAAAGAATCTGTCTTGGGCCTGGCAGGGCAGAAGAGAGGTAGGCAGGGGAAACTAAACAGAATGCTGAGAGAAAGAAGGCAGAGTTTAGAGAAGCCATGTAGTCCCACCAGAGACAGACACTGAATGGAACCTTGCTGGTAAGTCACAGCCATGTGGCGATACACAGATTAATAGAAATGGGTTAAATTAAGATGTAAGAGTTAGACAATAAGAAGCTAGAGCTAACGGACCAAGCAGAGATTTAATTAATACAGTTTCTATGTGGTTATTTCTGGGCTGAACAGCCAGAAACAAACAAGCGGCCTCCTATTACAATGTGGTTAAACATAAACAAGAATTATGGGTTAATTTAAGTTGTAAGAGCTAGTTAGTAATAAGCCTGAACAATAGGCCAAACAGTATTGTAATTAATATAGTTTCTGTGTGATTATTCGGGTCTGGGAAGCCAGGAAACAAAAGCATAGTCTTCATCTACAGAGTTTAGAGCTGGGCAGTGGTGGCACACACCTTTAATTCCAGCACTCAGGAGGCATAGGTAGGTGGATCTCTGAGTTGACGCCAGCCTGGTCTACAAGGTGAGTTCCAGGACAGCCAGGACTGTACAGAGTAATGCTGTCTTAAAAAACAAAAACAAAAACAAAAACAACAGGTTTTAGAATTCACACTTCAAGACACTTTTTTGAGGATGTGGTTAATTGATGAAAATTAGGAATTTTCAATGACATTGTGCAGTACAATGTCCACGTAGCTTCTCTATGAATCTTTTACATTCACTAAAAACTAAAGCTCTCTTTATTTGAAACCTGGAGAGAGTGCATATTCCTATAATTTGGATTAGTGTTTCCCAAAGACCTGTGTAGTGAAGGTTTTGCCCCTAGCTTGGTGCTAGCGGAGGATAGTTGTGGGAGATGTGGCCTTTGAGAGTCAGAGCTTTGTAGAAGGTCCCTAGGTCCTCAGAGCTGTGCCCAGTGGGCACTCACCCTTTCTTTCCTTCCTTCCTTCTCATCCTGACTCATGATGAAGTGAGTGGTTTTGGTTCACCTCATCCTGCCTATATGTGGTGGTTTGAATAAGAATGACCACCACAGGCTCATATATTTAAATGCTTAGTCACCAGGGAATGGCATTAGTTGAAAGGTGTAGGTTTGTTGAAGTAGGTGTGGCCTTGTTAGAGGAAGTGTCATTGGAGGTCGGCTTTGAAGTTTCAAAAGCCCAAGCCAGGTCCAGTGGCTCTCTCTTCCTCTGCCTTTGGATCTGGACATAGAACTGTCAGCTACTTCTCCAGCGTCATATCTGCCTGAGTGCCACTATGCTTCCCATCACAACGGCAATGGACCAAACCTCTGAAACTGTAAGGACTTGCCATAGTTCTGGTGTCACAGCAATAGGACAGTGACTAAGACCCTATGACAGGGCTGGAGAGATGGCTCAGTGGTTAAGAGCTTTGCCTGCTCTTCCAAAGGTCCTGAGTTCAATTCCCAGCAACCACATGGTGGCTCACAACCATCTGTAATGGGGTCTGGTGCCCTCTTCTGGCCTGCAGACATACACATGGACAGAATATTGTATACATAATAAATAAATATTAAAAAAAAAGACCCTATGACAGGCTCGAAGGAGTGAGCTGACTGATCCTGGACTTACTCTTCCAAACTGTGAGAATTGTGAACCAGGGTGAACCTGTGCTATTGATGGGGGCTGCTTATCTATGGTATTTGTTGAAGTGACAGCAATCTAAGACTGGCACCAACTGTGCTCCATCCTCCCTCTCCATCTCTTCCTCATTTTTCCTTTCAACAAATATCAATTAAGCACATTTTAAGATTCAGTTATCACATTAGATGCCGAAGATACAAAAATGAAAAGGTCACTGCCCTTGCCCTTAGGGTATTCATGCTTCATTTCCTGAAATTTCACACCCAGCCACAGTCTGCACTTTTTGCTTGTATCCTATAAAAAGTTTGGAGTTATTTCCTCTCAGAAAATGCTTACACTGTGCAGATGAGCTGCCCCTGGAGATGAACTCATGGTTCTGTGCTTTCCTGCGCATTTTATAAAGCATGTCATACATATAGTTTCATGTAGTTCTCAAAAACAGCCATTATCATCCCGACTGTATTAGTGGGGCCACTGGGGGGTGGGGGGAGCTGTCCATAGAGAATGCAGAGGAGCCCTCAAGTTAATGAGAAGAGCCCCCATGGGGACTCAGCTTTCCACTCTTCATGGTGACAATTCCTTCTTCGCTGTCATACTACTCCACATTCCTGCTGAATTGGAAGCCAGTCTTGGGCTCTGGGATTCCATCCTGCTGATCGTATGCCCACCTAACAGTGGATGGAACATTGGGCTGAATTCAGAATCATCCAAGAAACTCAACACAAGTAGCAGTGCTCTGGGCACCATCTAAATTCAGAGTGATCTAGAAGCCTCAGAAATGGTCTGATATGAAAAGAAGGTGACAGAAGGTCAGGTATGGTGATGTATGCCTATAATCCCAGCACCTGGGGGTGAAGGCAGGAGGACTTTGACTTTGAGATCAGTCTGGAGTGAGTCTGGACTCCATTGTAGGCCTTGTGTCAAAGAAATAGGAGAAAGGAGAGAAAGAAAGAGGAGGGAAGGAAGGAGAGGGCGAGGGGAAGGAAGAGGAGGAGAGAAGGAGGAAGAGAGAGAGGAAGAGAAAAATATGAATTCTAAGTAGAAACAGAAATAAAGTCTTATAGTGCTATATTGTTTGTGTGTTAATAAATAAAGCTTGCCTGAATATCAGAGTGCAGAGCTAAGCCACTAGAGGCCAGGGAGTGGTGGCACACCTTTAAGCCCAGGACTCAAGGCCACCCTGAACTATAGAAGATTGAATCTGTCTAAAAAGAGAAACAGAGCTCACACCTTTGATCCCAGCACTAGAGAGGCCTATAAGGCAGGAATTCAGTACAGTCTGGGTGCAGTTTGAGGTTTGGTGGAGGGCATTGTAGCTGCAGTCAGACTGAGGACAGGGTCGCCCCTGGGAGAATAGGTAAGAACTCTCAAGTGGCTTGTCTGTTTTGTTTTTCAGATCTTCAACTTGAACCCCAATATCTGTTTCTGGGTTTTTATTATTTGTGCTACAAAGTCTCTCTTCTGGCAAAAGTGAAGCAAGTAGCCTTGGTGGAAAGACTGTATCCACCAACAAGATTTGTTAATTTGTAACTTTCAAGTGGATGGGTTACCTATCTCTGCTTTTCAGCAGAGGTAACAGAACTCTCCAGAGGTGGGATCTTTCAAGGGGGGCACAACCTTGCCTAAACAATGAACAGGAAGCTCTCTTAACTTTATAATACATCAAGTTAATTAAGGCGAAATACACTGTAACTGTATACGTACATACGATACTTATCTCTCTCCACGGGTCTGTCAGTCTGTCTATATTTGCACTTACCTAGAAAGTGTACAAAGAAAAACCGATATGCAGAGCTGAGGATCCTGGGGGCGGGGGGTAGATAGCAACATCTTTCCCTCATGGGGCTTCCTTGGCCCAGGGCATGGAGCCAATAGAAAAAGAGGCGCCATTGCAAGTCTGCCACCTGCACGTGTGTTCTCCCAGTCTGGGATAACTGCCTCTACACAGGACTCGGCATGGAGCATGTCCTTTGGGTTATGGTTTTGATTTTCAATTCTACAGTCATGAGGAAAGAGTTAACTTTATTGGCCCACAGGTCCTCGCCACCAGTCACTCTTGGTGAATCTCTACTGTTAACACTGGCAATGAAATCTAGAAAGTCATCTAATCTTAGCTCTGCAAATGCTGAAGGCTAGTAGGAGGGTTCAAGTTTGACACCCCAGGACCTGTGTAATAAAGCTGGGCACGGTGGCTGGAGAGACTGTTCATGATGAAGAACACTGATTGCTCTTGTAGAAAACCAGGGTTCAGCTCCCTGCAAGCACATGGTGGCTCCCAACCATCTGTAATTCCAGTTCCAGAGGATCCCATGCCCTCTTTTGAAATCTGTGGGCACCAGGCACACACACGGCACACAAACACGCTTGCAGACAAAACACCCATACACATAGAATTTAAAATTTATTTTTTTAATATTTATGTATTTATTATGTATACAATATTCTGTGTATATGTCTGCAGACCAGAAGAGGGCACCAGACCTCATTACAGATGGTTGTGAGCCACCATGTGGTTGCCGGGAATTGAACTCAGGACCTTTGGAAGAGCAGGCAATGCTCTTAACCACTGAGCCATCTCTCCAGCCCCAGAATTTAAAATTTAAAAAAAAAATGACAAAATTAAGCTGGGCATGGTGACAAGCACTTGTAATCCCAGCAGTGGTGACGTAGAGTGTTGTGTAGAAATTTCCTCCAAGATAAAAGCATCCCATCTTGGAGGGAAGCTCTTTAAGACATAGAATGTTCATGGGGCTGTGAAAGATGCCATCTTGCAGAGAAGCTGCCAAGACAGGAAGTAAACCACTCCAAATAGCTTTAGAAGTTCCTATAACTGACCAGATTAACTAGCTCCCTCCCTCCCCAAGAGTATGAAGAAGTAAAGACTGCTGAGGGTCACTCTTGGGCCAGCTGAGCTACTTGGAGCTGGCTCCAGCCAGGCAGCCTGGAAGAAGCTCAGATCAACTGAGCTTCCAAGAAAAGCTGCCCTCCCTCCACCCTGCTGAGCTGCCTGCCTGCAGGCTGAGCAGTGAGCTCCAGGATTCCTACTTATGCCTGCTGTCACCTGTGCTAAGATGGACTTTGGCGATGCAGCTGTCTTTGGGTCATTTCTGTTCCTATAAGTAACCCCTCACCTATATTCCTATAAGTCCCCCCCCCTGAACTTTGGTGGTATCCATACTTTAGTCTGTCATGGTCCCCCTATCTGGGGTGAGTAGACATTTGTTCATGTCTTCCCAGAAATAGCGTCACACAACATAAAGACCTGTGTTCCCTGGGGTAATGACTAGCCAGCCTACTCTACTCATAGAGCTCCAGGTCAACCCATGAGACCCTGTCTCACAAACCAAGGTGGACAGCTCCTGAGAAGTGACACCCAAGGCTGACCTCATGACCTCAGGCCTGGAGGGGCTCGGTTGCACACACACACACACATACACACACACACACATACACACACAAATACATGTTGTCCTTGAAGAGACACTGCCTACTGTAAAGAACCACACAGTCACTCTCTGGAGCAGCTTGCTCTTTGTAGGCTTGGGGAAAGAGATGCAGAGAGAAGTCTCAACTTAATATCACATCCGAATGGACCTGCAGATCACAAGCCAAGTCTGTCGAGTCCATTCGGTTTCTCTAAATAACTTCAAAGGACATGCATGGCTCCTACTGCCATAGAGCAGCTGGTAATTCTGTGTCACAACTAGTTACTATCAGCAGCCGCCGTGAAAGCACCGCTTCCAGTTTCACGGCAAACTGTATTTCTCCGTGCATTCAGATCTCATCTGGCCCTGAATGGTAGCCATTACAAGGTAACAGGGTAGCTCTTTCTATCTACCTCAGCCCATCAGCTCCATCTCCAGCTGAGGTGGCTGTCTCCTCCTCCCCCTTAGGCAGGGATTATTTGTTATTAAAATGCTGGGGCTGGCTCAGTTCTCTTTTTGCAGTCTGGATGCTGCCTACAGTGGGAGAAAGGGTTTTGAAGAGAGATTAGCAGGATTAGGGAAGGTTCACATATGTTCAGCCTTACTCTTGGTGTTCAGGCTATCACAGCCTCCCACCACCCAGGAAGCATAAGAATATGGAGGCCAGGAGGGCTGGGGATGGGAGAAAAGCCGTATATTCCTCCCTTGACGAAACAAAGCTGAAGTCAAGAAAGCAAAGCTAGGGATGGTTTAAACTGGGGCATTCCCAAGGAGCTTGCTAGAATTTTTGCTTTGAGTTCTGTTTTCCTTTCACTCCTTGTATTGGTCATCCTTTCCTTACCACAAGGAAAAGCCTCAGGCAACTAACTTGGAAGGAGAAGAAGTAATTTCAGCCTCACACTTTCGTAGGTTCAAGGTTCAAAGTTCAAATGGTGTAACACGGTTTTAGCAAGACTGAATTGCCTCATCATGCAGATAGTAAGTGGAGGGAGGGGGAACAAAAGATTATAACCCAGAGTCAGAGTCGAGAGAGGAAGGGGACCCGGAGCCCTGGAGTCTTCTTCAGGAGTAAGCGCCATGTAGCCTCTTAGGAGACACCCATTCCGGGTTCCTCACCTCCCATCTCCCATTCACCCTTTCTGCACTCTTAATGAAGCTTTGGGGCAGTGTGCAAACTAAGCAACAAAATAATACCCACCCCTGAACACTGCTTATGTGACGTCTCTCTCTCTCTCTCTCTCTGAACCTTGCCAGTGTGTGGGAGGGGAAGTATCAAAGACAGGATCAACAGTTTGTCCTGGAGACTGGTTCTAAGACCTGCCCAGCCCAGCTGCTGGCCCACGGCTTCCTACATTTGTGTGTCCTCCTCTCTTTCTCAAAATTACAGAAGAGAGTTAGGGTCATGATTCCAAGGAAGAGTGGGGAAATCTCTCTCCAGACTGAAATATTACATGGAGTTAAATTTCCAACCAGTTCAAGCAGATGACTCAGCTACCCCTTGGTCCACCAAGTGACAGCACCATGTGACGGCCACAGTCATCAGTGGGTGGAGGGGCCACCTCTAGAGAGCAGGCTTGGTTTTCTGGTTTCGCCATTACAAACGGTGAAAGTGAGGCACATCAAGAACAGCCATAGACCAGTTCAGCACAGGGGGCTGTGCTTGGCAGTGCCATCCAGCTCCTGAGCCTGCCCCGTTAATGCCAGGCCCTGAATCCATGGTTTGGGGATGGGGACAGACCACTGTGGTACCAGCTGTCCCTAGCAGACTGTCCTCTCCTCAACACAGAGAGCTCTTCTAGAACTCGGCCGCCATCTGCTCGGACCCACCAGGATTTACACGGGTAGCACAGCGAGAGAGGGAAGCGACTCCCCACGCTCATGTCTATGCACATCCTGATGGCAGGGCTGCCAGAGTTACGGGATATGAAGGAACCAGTAGAGTGGGCTATCTGTGGATTGTGCCAGTGGTGTATTGGAACAGCCCTGATCTGACACATGCATGGCCATGTTGACTATCAGCCCATGTATCCCTGTGCAGCCAGAGTCGCTGCTTCCTGGAGTAGCCCTTGTAACAGGCAGTCATGGGAACAACAGTAGTTACCCAACATTCTCTCCTCACCTTAGTATTAGCTCCACACGGAGGACGGGAGATGGAGGTGGGCTCCCTCCCCCAACCTAAGTCCACCTGGGCTTAAGGGTGCAACTAGACCCATTGGGCTTGTTAGTTTCCTGGGAACAGCACAAGCAGAGGTCACCTGGGAAGAGGAAACCTCATTTGAAAAACTGTCTGTGGGGGCATTTTCTTGGTTAACGATTGATGAGGGAGGGCCCAGCCCTCTGTGGGTGGGGCTGCTCCTGGGGAGGTGGTCCTGAATTTTATAAAAAAGCAGGCTTAGCAAGACATGGGGGGGTGGTGAACGACAGAGGGACACTACACAAGCCTTTAAGCAGCGATCCCCTCCCTCACAAGCCTCTGCTTCAGTTCCTGCCTCCAGCTTCCTGTTTCTGCTCCCCCCCTGGTTCTGCTCAATGATGAGTTGCAATCAGCTTGCTTATGTGAGCCAAGTAAATGCTCTCCTTCCCAAACTGTTTTTGGTCATGGTATTTATCACGTGATAGAAAGTGGACCGTGAACCCCACTCAGGGTTGATGTGCAGTCTGGGCCTGGCCTGACAGATCTGGAACCAGTGCATATGTGGAGGAGTCAGTTGTTTGGAGGTGAAATTCTCCTGGCTTAGCGGTCAGGTCAGAGGAGCAGAAGCCGGACTCTGCGGTTGCAAAACACCACTAAGGAGAGCAGAGGTCAAAGGTTATAGAATGAGACTCCAGCAAACAGACAGCATGGGCTGGAGTCAAACCACAGCAGAAGGGAAAGCTCGGCTACCCGCTGCATCTGCTGCCAAATTGTTTTTGCTTAAGCAGCTTCCAGAGGACCAAGCATGGCAGAAGGAATTCCAATTAATCCAGGGTTTTCTACCAGCCAAGGCTGAGCTTTGACTGCATGACTGTGTTGCCTCTGGTATTCTTTGAAGTCTTTGGGCTCCATGACAACAGGGACCATGGTGCCTCCTTCACCTGCAGGGTGCTCCGGCAACTTGGTCAGTCCAGGACACTGACTAGGGGCTGTACAAATCTTTGTTAAGTCACCACATGGTATTTCTCCTTTGCATGAGGACCTAAAGCTTTGGAACCCCAGGGCCTGACTTTAAATTCTCACATACTGCATAGCCTAGTCCTATAAGCTCACGGTGTGAGCCACTGCCCTGTGCCCAGTGAAGAGTTCTGTA